GTGTGCTGCAGCCCTGCCCTACAGCCCAGTGGGCAGCTGTTCCAAGTCTTCTGATGTGTTCATTCCCTCCATGGACAGCCCTGGCTCCTCTGGGAGTCCAGCATCGTGGGGTCCATCCATGGGTCCGAGCTCACCTACCCTGGAGCCAGCAGCTGGTGGGGTCCAGGGGGGATGAGGATGTTTGGGCAGCCAGCCAGGTGCACCTGCAGCTCCCTCAGCCCAGCCTCTCCTTCCTGGGCCGCCTTTATTGGGGGACATTTGGAATCATCCAGATTGACTTTTGTTTAAAAATGCACACAGGCCATAGCTGCAGCTCCGGCTTAAAGCTCGACGCTGGTGTTGAGGTGGTCCACTCAGAGCCCTGCTCTGTCTTTGGCTTTAGCCCAGCTTAACAAGCCCATCGCCCTCGTCTGCCTGGCAAAGCGCCCTTCCCAGCAGCGGCCTGGGACCTTGCTTGGTTCTAGCCGCCACTGTCCACTGCAGACACTTCAGCTGCCCTGCTTCAGGGCCAATGCCTCGAGTTCAGCTCTGCTTTCAGGACGTGTTCTTTAATGGTGGTGGAACACACAAGGCGGACTCCCCACCTCGACATGGTGAGCGCACAGCTCGGGCGCTGGGCGGCCTCAGCCTGGTGTGCAGCCAGCACCACCCCAGCCTGGAACTCAGTCCCCGTCAACGCTAACCCCCCAGCCTCCGGTCCCTGCACCCTGCTGCCTTGTCTCTCTGCACTCCGGGGCCTCCCTGTGCCTGGCTCAGGGTCCATCGAGCCCCTTGGCTTTGGGCATGACCCTTGCCTGGATTAGCCGAACTTTAAAGCACTCACATCGTTTTCCCGTGGTGGGTAGATTAGATACGTGAACCTGGCAGCCGGGTCCTCTGGAGCGCCCCAAGACTGTGCTCACCTGGAACCCCCGCTCAGGGCTACCTGATGGCCAGCTGCCAGCAGCTGGTGGGGTCCAGGGAGATGAGGTAGGGTGGTGGGCAGTGAGTCCAGCAGGCACTGTGGATGAGATGTGCTCCAGAGTGGGCCTGGCAGCCCTGGGGTCCAGGCCCAGCCCTTGCCTCTCCTGGACAGGACCTGCTGGATTCACTGGGCTGGTCACCTGAGCTGGCCGAGCCTATGAGGAGGTGCCAGGCAGGGCCCAGAACATGGGATGTGGTGGAGGGTCTCCGTGTGGCTTTAGGCCCTGCCTGTCCGCAGCCCCTGGAGCTGGCCCCCACCCTCCACGTGCCTCCCACTGTGGCCTCTACAAGGCCCTGGCAGGACGCCCGCATTCTCCTGTGTTCCCAGGGCACCTGGCTGTGGAGATATTGAAGTGATGTCCGATAACATGCTGGACGTCCCTCAAGGCTGGCGCTGCGGTCACAGCTGCTCAGGTCAATGTGGCTCGAGGGGAACAGTGGGGCATTGTCCTGGGAACCATTGCTCCCTCCACAGCGCTGCACCTGCTGGGAGCTGGGCCGGGCAGCGTGCAGGTGCGGGCAGCCCCAGTCCAGAACATGGGCCAGTGTCTTCCTTTCCCTGGGCCTCAGTCTCCCAGCCCTTGGGGGGTGTCCTGGGACAGCCTGACCTTGGAACTCCAGGATGCAGAACGGGGGGCAGAGGGGTGTGGCTGCCCCCAGAGACAGGGGTGCAGGTGGGCCCTGGGTCCTGTGTGAGCTCACCAAGGGCAGGAACCCTGGCCAGGCCTCCCTGAGACTCCCTGCTCCGCCCAGGACAGGAACAGATAAAGGGGTAAATAAGATAAAATGTGTTTTATCTGAGTCGATAAAGAATAAACTGTGTTATATAATTCTTCTCAGGCCAGCACAGTGTATTCAAATATTTGAAGAACTGTTTAGCCTTCAGGATGTGGTGAGGTTGAAACGCAGCCCAGCACGTGGGGACAGGTTCGCACGGCATTCTGAGCCCTGGGCTCCTCACGGGCCACGAGGCAGGGCATCCTGGAGCCAGGCGCAGCCCCGCTCACCTTCTCCCCTGGCCTGAGCCGTCTCCCACCAGCCCTGGCCCCACCCTGTGGTCGCCTCCCGCCCCACCTGCCTCCCCTTGTGCTCAGGGCCAGTGTTGTGTCCTGCCCTCCGTGCTGGACCTTGCTGGGCGAGGCTCACTCAGCTGTAGCAGCCTCGGAGGGCACAGGAGGGCCCCCCAGCTGCAAAGTCCCCTGGGGCACTTGGCGCCTGTGGCCTGTTCCCGAAGCTCCCAGCCTCCCCCGGGCCCTGGGCCAGCCATGCCCAACCCCAGCCAGCGCCCTGCTGCTTCCCTCCCTCACCGCCTCCAAGCAGCAGCAGTGGATGCTGTCACCTCAACAGCAGGAAAAGTCAAAGTTTGTGACAAGCCATGCAGCTTGTCACCCGTTTGGCTTGAGCTTGTGACTTGGGAGCCCTGGGACGCTCATTGTCCTGAGATAGCCTCTTGATCACCCCAGGGCTCTCCTGGGTGCACGTCACTGTTGGCAAAGCGTGGGCAGGAGCTGGTCAGGGGTCCTGGCTGTGGCCCCGAAGGGCTCTGCTGCGTCTTCCCATGCTCACGCTGCAGGAGCTTCAGGGCTGTCAGAGCCTCCGGAGGCCACGGGCCTGTTCCTGGCACCAAGTCCCCGGGGGACCCCTGGTGACACCACCCTCCACAGCTCTGTGACGGGGGCTCTGACTTATGAGGAGGGGAAACCCGGCCAGGTTGCTGCCAGGGCCGCATGGCTGTGCAGGGGTAGCTGGTGAGCGCTGGGTCCTATTGGGTGCCCGGCGGCTGGGGAGAGGCCAGCTGAGCACCTCCTGCACCCAGCAGCACCTTCTCTGCTCGCTCTTGGCTGTGCTGCTGGGCCCGTCCCACTTCCCTGCAGCTGTGAGTCAGGGCACAGTGGCCTGCAGGGCCAGGGTGGCACAAGCCCCAGAGGAGCAGCTGGTCCAGTGCCCCTGGGAGGCCAGGGGCTCACGCAGGCCCTCTGCAGGCCTGGAGGGAGCTTTGGTTCGTGTAGTGGGAGGCAAACTCCGTGCAGGATGGCGGGAAGAATCGGCTCCCGTGCCAGGAACGGCACCTGCCCCAGCCGGACACTCTGTCCAACCAGGGTTTGCCCGGTGCCCACGAGAGCCAACGCTGGCTCCGGAAAGGGCTGTGCCCTTATTCACCCCCATGGGGGCTCCATGAGACCTGGCTGCAGTGTGGGTCGTGGTCTGGGGGATAGCAGAGGGCAGGGGAAGTCGCAATGCAGGGGCTGCCTGTCCCGGGGAGCAGCAGGAGGGGCCTGGGAGGACCAGACACCCCTGGCGCTAGGCAGGGAGGGTCCTTGGAGCTGAGCCGTGTGGAGATGGAGGTGCAGAGTGCCTGTCGGGAGGCCACGTGTGCCAGCACCCTGAGACCCGAGGCAGCCAGAACCCCACCTGTGAGGGGCTGGTGGTGGGAGGCAAGGCCCGAGGAGGGGCAGGGGTCCGACTGGGGTCTGGGTGGTGGCCTTGGGTCTGGGATGAACTGGGGCTGTCCTGGGCCAAGAGACAGGGTGTTAGCCGTGGGGACAGAGGCAGGGTCAGTGGGAGGGGCAGAGGCAGGGCAAGGTGCTCAGGGGTCAGGTGCCGGTGCGCACACCAGGGGCTGAGTACTGCTCTGCCCCAGGCCATGTCTGGTCACCAGCTCTCAGGACACCCACAGGCCGGGGTGGGCTCAGAGGATGGCCTGGCCCCTGCCTGGGCAGTGGGACCTCCCTGTGGAGCTGAAGAGGGCCCCAGGAGGCAGCAGCTGGCACAGAGCTGCCGACCCGGCTCCCTCGAGACTAGCAGAGAAGGTGGGGGAGCTGCGCTGGGCAGGGCCACCATGGTGACAAGAGGGCCACTTGCTGGCTGGGTGGGACAGCAGCGTGGTCGAGGTGGGGTCGGGCTGGAGGTGGCTGTGCAGGTGCCACAGATGGCCCACCAGGGACAGTGGGTCGGTCCTGAGGGCTCGGGGCCACAGAGGCCAGGAAGGGGGGTTAGCCACAGGAGCCTGGGGGAGACGCCCAGGTCCCTGTGACCCTGGAAGCCCATCTGTGACCTCTGAGGGTCGGGGCCCGTGTTGGGCAGAGGGAGACGGGGAGATTCGGCAGGGCTGAGCCCGCAGGAGGCGCTGGGCGTCCTGGCTGCTGTGGGACTGAAAGCCACGGGGGCAGTGACTCTCAGGGCGGGGAGGGGCCTGGGCTCCTGGTACTGGGCAGAAGGTCGGCACCTCGGGGGGCAGCCACCCTCTGCCCGCCCCTGAGAGCCCGCGTGAGGTGTTTGCCGTCCTCAAAGCCCTTGGAACATCTCACCGGCTGCCCCTCCCCAGGCAGGAGGAGGGCTGGGGCCACCTTGGCCTGGTGACATACAAGGACACTGAGCTCAGTGGAAGAGGGACCCTGGGGGTTCACTAGTGGGAGGGGTGGTTCCTCAGCTTTGTGGCTCCCACCGGATCAGAACAAGTGGCCTGTGTTCTGTGTGTCACAGGGCACGTGGGCAGCCTGGGTGCTGGCCTTGGGCGAGACCCTGCTTCCTTTTCCTTTGATGAGCTCTGAGCTGGTGGCCCGCTTCTCCTTGCCACCAGGTACCCTGCCTGGCCCCGAGTCCTGCCAGTGGGGCCAGGGGAGCTTGACCAGAAAGCGTCTGTGGAAACGGCGTCTGGAGACAGCTGCACCCCAAGGCACGTGGTGAAGAGCCCGTGCCCGGCAGAGCTCGGGGGGCCGAGAGCACTGCCCTTCGGGTCCAGAGCGTCGGTCATGCCGAAGGGGAGCCCTCTTGCCCACCAGTGCCCCGGGCTGCTCCCTGCCCTGTGGACATGCCCATCCAGGACACGAGCCTGTGATGGGTGGTCGTGGGGTCTGCTGGCTGGGCACAGCATTTTGAGGTCCTCCCATGTTGGGCAGGTCTGGGGTGTCCACCTGACGGCCTTGCATTTCCTGTGTCCACTCACAGCTGAGGGACGACTGGGCTCTGGCAGCACTCTGGGATCTCACACGGGGTGCCTCGGTGGCGGCTGCTGACCCTGCGCCCTTCTCTTGCAGCTTCCTCATCGTCCTGGTCTGCCTCATTTTCAGCGTGCTGTCCACCATCGAGCAGTATGCCGCGCTGGCCACAGGGACGCTCTTCTGGATGGTACGTAGGGGCCTGGGGCCTCCAGAGGGCTCAGTGGCCCTGGGGGTCGGCTCTGGGAAAGAGGAGGCTGCTCCCGGTGCCCCTGGTGCTGGGCTGGAGGGGGCCATCTGGGCTGGGAGCCCGGCACGGAGGCCTGTGCATGTCCCTCTGTGGGTAAGGGCTGGGGCCTCTCATCCCTGTGTGGGCCGGTCCCCAGCCCTAGAGAGGAGCTCAGGCAGTCTGAGGACCAAACTCCTGAGCACGGGGTCTGGCCCCTCCACCTCTGCAGGCCCCGTGTGCTTGTGGTGGGAAGGAGGACTCTCTCCTCTCCAGCTGGCCATGAACTCTGGACAGGGCCTGGGGGGACCCTAGCTGAGGAGGGGGCCTGCCCCGGCATGGATTCAAGAGCCTGCAGCCAGGGCCGAGAGGGCCCCCTCCGCTCGCCTCTCTCTGCTGGGCCCAGGCTCTATGGGGACCCACGGCTGGTGTGGTGCTGAGGCTGCTGGGGTGGTGCTCTCTGGGGACCAGCTGTGTCTGGGGGACAGAGTCCCCGAGGAAGCCGCCTGGGGGCCATGGCAGGGCCTCTCAGGACTGAGTCCGCACCTCTGTTACGCCTGCCCTCTCGCGGTGGGCTGTCCCAGCAGCTGCAGAAGGGGCAAGGATCAGGAGGGGCTTTCCATCGCCCGCTACCTGGGGCTAGCCAGGCCAGCTCTCATGCTCATCTGGCCCTGTGGCCTGTCCAGCTGGGCTCCTGAGTCACCCTGGACAGCCCAGAGGTGGTGCCTACCTTGATTTTAGGCAGCCAGGTCTGCCTGGGCTTTAGCGGTTCTGGATTCTGAGTTATGGGTCAGTGTCCCCTGCTCGGGGCTCACAGTGCCCCTACGGGCAGTTGTGTGTCGATGTGGCGCGTGGCCACTGGGACTCTCTTGAGGCTGGACCCCTGGCCTCCAAGAAAGCGGCTCCTATCCCAGAGTCTCTCCAACCTGACTTGAGGTGCACCTTTGTTAAAAACCAGATTCCAATGCAGAGTCGCTCTGGGGTTCCCTCCTTGGCCTCCCGGGGCCAGGCAGAGGCCTGGCTCCGGTGGGCGGGCAGGGCCTTTCCTGCAGGGCTTTCCTGGCCATTCCTGCTCGTCTTCTCCTCCCAGTGACCTCACGACCCAGTGGTCCAGCTCTGGCACCTGATGAGTTAGGTCGGGCAGCCCGGCACCTGTGGTGCGTGTCTCTGGGAGCCTGTGTGGTGGGGGCCATGGGTCTGGGACGGTGGCTGTGGGTTATTCCTGATAACAACAGGGGTGGCAATGAGCAGTTGGGGACTGTCACTGAAGGGTCCTCTCTTGCGACGTGTTTTATGGGATGTTCTTGGCATGCACAAAGCCCTGACGGGCAGTTTCCTGGCCTGGGTCTGCTGGGCTTAGTCACTGATCTAGCAGGTTCCCCCCGGTTCCTGGGTTCTAGGATGGAAGTCCCTTGTGCAGGTACAGCTGTCACCAGTCCTGCTGTGTCCTGCTGTCACTTCATGCTTATTCAGAGGAATACCCAGCCACCAGGCATGGGGATGGGCATTTCCTGGTGTTGGGGACTGTCCCCCAGCCCCAGTCCTGTGTGGTGGGGTGTGATGGTTGGGCTTGTCCCATGTCTCTCTTGGGTGTCAGAGTTTTGCAGGGGGCTTTTGGAGGACCCAGGGACCTCTCACAGTGCCCAGTCAGGCTGTGTGTCTCCTTTCCCGCTCTAGGCTACTCCCGTGCCCCGTGCCACCTGCCCAGGACCCTCACCCCCTGTGGACCAGCTGTCCGTGAACGCTGGCTGTGTTTCACAGGACAGCATGGGGTCACTGTGCAGGGAGGTGTGTCGTCCACAGGGCGTGTGCACCAGGCCTGGCCTCTGCGGGTCCCTCCGTGGGGACGGGGTCTTCGGTGCTCCGCCCTGGGACTTGCCCTAAAGGGCCTGGGACTAGGGTTCCCCACGGTTCTCAGCTGTAAGGGCCTGGCTGCGGAAGATTCCCCAGGAGAGGAGCACATGCACATCTGTGTGTGTGAATGTACACGTGTGAGCACGCCGTGTGCCCATGTGCCACGTGCAAGGCAGCATACACACATGTATGCATGTGCCATGTGTGCTCACACACAGCTGAGTGCATCTGGGCATGTGTGTGAGTGGGAGGCTGTGTGCACCTGTGTACACGAGCTTGTTCATGAGTGTTCACTTGCCTGCCGTGTGGTGTGTGCCTGTGAGTGTTCAGCTGTGTGTGTGTACATGGGTGTGTTTCACGTGTAGTTGTGTTAAACCATGGTGACGTGTTCACGTGTGTGCCCATGCGTGTGTGATGCATTCGGCTCCTCCTGTGCTACCTCGGAGGATCTGGGGTAGTCATCCTTGGTCCCCCAGGGTGACTTGGTCCCCCAGGGTGATTTGGTCCCCCAGGGTGACTTGGGCCCAGGAGCCACTGCCTCCTTCCACCTGGCCCTAGCATCTGTGGAGCCTGCCTGCCACCTGGTGGCTGCTCTTGGAACTGCACTTGCCTTTCCACAGAGCCCTCAGGCTGGCAGCCACTGAGCACTGGGCCTGGGAGGTCCACACCTCCCACCCTCTCGGGGCAGGTGCCAGTGGAGCAGCTCCCCTTCCCCACAGCAGAGCCCCTTCCCACTGTAGCCCCCATCCAAGTAGTGGCTCTTTTCCGTTCTGTGGGAGCAGTGGCCCTGGCTGTGTCCCTGGGCCCCCTTCCCACACTCCCACTGGGAGGCTTTCTAAAGCAACCTGATCATTCTAGAAGCTCCCGTGGCATTTGGGGCAAACTCCAGCTTCTCTCATGGACCCCCAGGTGCCATTGTTCAGGCACCCTCTTCCTGTCCCTGGCCCCCCACTTGTTCTCTGCTGCCTCTGGGCCTTTGCACCGCTCTGCCGGGGCCTGGCTCTCTGACATCTTACGGGGCTGACTTCTCCCAGGACACCTGCTCTTTCTTCAGAGGGCAGGGTGTGATGCTCTGCCTGGGGCTCACCCTCCCTCACCCCTCCCAGGGACCCCTGGCCCTGCCTGCCCGCCTGCCAGCATGGTGCTTCCTGCTCGGCACACCCCCGGGGGTATGTGTTCTTGGGCCTTAATTTCCCCATCTGTAAAATGGAGGCGGTGACAGACAGCCCCCTGCCTGCCACATGGCCTGGTCATGTTTACACTCCGTGTCACCCCACTTCAGCCTGAGGGAGTTGCCCCTTCCAGGTGGGTTGAGCTGACCATGTCCAGAGGCCTATGCCAGAGTGACAGCCATAGGGGGTTGGGGGACATTGGGAAGGAGGCAGCCATGGCCTAGCACTGGACCAAGCGGGAGGTCGGTGGGGCCCTGTGGGGCAGCCTGTGTGACAGTCAAGGCTCTGTAGGGTCGGGGTGCTGGGGCGGGAGGGCAGGGTGAGGAGCGGAGCCTGGCTGGGGCCCTACAGGTGGGGACCCTGCAGCTTGCAGTCTCCAGGTGGGCGAGCATGGAGCACAGGTGGGTGGAGAGGGTGCGTCCCCAGGCCGGGGCACACGGTGTGGGGCGCCAGGAGATGCCTGGAGCCATCGTGGGGGGGCAGTCTCAGCAGACCATGCGGACACCAGGGGGCGCCCTCGTCACGTGCATTTCTGCAGCCCCTGGGCCCGGCCCAGCGTGACTGTGAGCTCAGCCCAAACCGCAGCCCCGGGCCCCACGGGGGCCCGGCCAGCCTGCAGGGACGGCAGTGGGAGATGTGGAACAGCCTTCGAGGCTCTTCCCGAGCCGTGTTCTCCCTCCTGCTGCTGCGCCTGGCTGTGATGGTGCCAGAAGGCTGTTATCTCAGCGAGGGCCGAGGAAGCCCCAGGGCGGCCTCCGAGGGATTAAGCATTCTGCTGAACCAGGACATTTGGTGGGCCTGAGAAAGCCATCTTGGGAGGAGTCTCGCCCGGCCAGGTCCGGCCTGGGACTTTGGACAGGCGCGTGGCGGGGCCCCACCTGGTTCCCGTCCAGGGGAGGCTGTGTGCTCACATGTGTCTGTGGACGTGGCAGCACGTGTGTGCCTGGGCCCGGCCGGTCCCGCTGGGGGCTCTCCCTCCGCCCCAGGAACACTCCTTTTCTCTGCCCTGAGAGAACCTGTCCCGGCCCAGGTGAGGGCTGGCTTTTGTGACAGCCTTTGTCCTGATTCCATACCGAAAGCGTGACACGGTTCATGTCTGTGCCTTCCGGTGGCCAGCATGCCGGGGGACTGTCCTGAGGGGCCTGTGGTTGGAAACCCGTGAGTGGCGGCTGGAGGCCTGGGGGATGAGGTCACTCTTCCTCCCTGCTGCGGAGGCTCCCTTGTCCTGCTGCAGTGACCACCCCTCCCACCAGCTGCATCCTCCCCGTGGCCGGCCTCCCGCCTCAGTTTCCCAGCAGCAGAGCGAGGGGGGTGGGGGCCGTGCCCTGCAGCGGCTCTCGGTGGGTCTCCCTGTCCTGCTGAACAAGGTCAGGCTCTGTTCCCAGCTCCTCTCAGGCCCCAGCCCCCCGTTTCACACTCCGGATGACCCTGCAGATGCCGCCGCTCCAGCTCCAACACCCCACGGCGGACGTGAAGCACACTACCTGCCCCGGAGCCTGGTGGGGCAGCGCGGGCGTCGCGCTGGCTGCCTGGGAGCTGTGCTGTCTGCTCTCGTATCAAGTCTGGTGGCCCTCGGGAGGCCATCAGCAGAGCCCCTGCCGTCCCTGCCACGTATCGAGTGTGCTGTGTGCACACTCTGATCCTTTCCCTGAAGAACCTTGTTTGCAGCGGGAGAGGGGGACTCTCAGAGGTTGAGTCACTGCTGCCCAAGGTCAGGGGACCAGCGGGAGGCTCGGGTTTTCCATTAACAAGCCCCAAGCCCTGTTTCCCTGCACGCCTGCACCTCCCTGCCCCAGGAGCTCCTACACGCTGACCGAGCGCCATCCTTCACTGTCACTTGGTGTCACCTTCCTGCCTGACTCTGCCCCGAGACGTCCACCACTTCCTCCTGGGCTCCCAGGTCCTCCAGGAAAACATCCTCTCCCCTCTGTGGATCTG